TTGGGGGGTTTTGGAGATGCTCTTCCTTTGGAAGTACTGTACCTGTAACTAACATCTTCACATTGCTCAATGTAAGCACATTTGTTCCCGTGTTTCATAGTTAAATAAATTCCTTTAATACCATAAACACATTCTTGAAAAACTGGGGGTTTTCTTTTATTTTATCATCTCCAAGATCATTGCCCAGCTCCCCATACGTGTCAAACAAAACAAAAGCAGTCACTAGACAGCCTATGTTCTCCTGGACGTCCCGGTTTGGCTGCTATGCAGATATCAACGCTGAAGCCGACGTGGGTAACTGACCAGGCCTGAGGTTCACACATCCCTGCCTGCCTTATTGATGCTAGTTGGTGTGAAACACAACGACAGCCACTCTCACAACAAGGGTCAGACACAGCTCCGGTTCTAGAAGCAAGTGGAAAGACACAAAGCGACACAGCAAGAAATACCAGCTACTGTAACTACGGCACTGCAGAAACATACCCTTGGTTTTGCTGAAAAAGATCGTATGAAAAAAATCTCTTTAAGAAAAAGTAGAAATGGCATTTATTTGAGAAAGTGTACACTGCATAATGAACCAAATTTTGGCCAGCTTGCACACCACCAAAAGCATGGTGTGGGATTTTTAAACTAGTTCCAAGAACACACACACTTAGACTATGTACACTACTACATAAATATCCAGTTTAATTTGCATTTCTCAGTGCAGACACAGATTCCAACTCCTAGAACATGAGATATATATCAAGACGAGACGCAAAAAAGTTAAAAGTTCAGCCCTGTCCATGAGGATCAGCTACAGGTAACGTTTATAAAAACTTGACATTGTTTCCAAAATATGCTAAGGAGAAAATAGTATACCAATTAAAAACTACGCAACCAGAAATTTGCAGGGTTTATTAAAGACATGCTTTTTCTTTTTTTTTCCCCTTCCTTTTTGCCTTACAGTCCAAATCGACTCTCACATTTCTGCCCACCTAGCTCAGATCACCGATGCAAAGGACTTCTCGCTCCGATGCCCTTTTCACAAAGACAGGTTTCAACATCCTCGTTTTACAGGGAGGAAGCTGAGGACTGGAGAGGCTGAGCGTCGTGCCTGAGGTCACAGCCTGCCAGCAGCACGAGGAGCATGGCACCGAGCTGCAGCACAGCCCTGCCTGCCCCTTGCTCCAGTTCCCAGCTGCGCTTCCAACCCCAACCCATCAGGAACAGCTTTTCATCTCTGATCAACTTCAAGGTCAATTACAGCCCAACTAATTTCCCCCCAGCAGTTCCACAACCAGCACGCCAATCATTAGTTCATTCTCAGTGTCTTAATTATAGTCGTCGTGGGAAGAGTACTGTAAACAGTTTCACAACGTTGCTGCAGTTGCAAACACAATATCTCAGATGACAGAGAAGTGCCACCCTCCGCAGTAAGGCAGATAACATGACATCAAAATGATCTGGCAAAGACAAATTCTAAAGGTGCAACATGCCTGTTTTGGAACAGCTTGTCACTTCTGTTCACACTCCTGGGACAGGAGGACGGAGGAGAAAGGAGAAGGGACAAAGATCGTGGCTGGAAGAAGATACTGATTTCCAACAGAAGTGACAAGCAGCTCACCAGAAAGCGTGAGAGGAAAGGCTGCTAAAGCACAGTGCTCTCAGTGAAATATTTGCATAGATCGGACATTTGCTAACGATGCATAATTTCTCTTGGGTACAGACAGGGTAGGGCAATATGTCACTGAGCTAGTAGTTATTATATATATTCAATTAGACAGACACAGACAGACTGACCACGTGGGACAATGATCTTTAGCTACAAGTATTGCACCGAGTTAAGTGCTCATCTTTGCACACCCCTGTTAACTTTTACTCAGAGCGAAAATAAACTTTGTGAAAGTATATACAAAAGAAATTGCAGCAATTGGGTTAAAGATAAAATAACCTAAAGTGCATTTTAGATACCAGTATGAGGTTCTGCAAACTAGTCTTTCTGGACACACTCAGCATTACAGAAGTGCCCAATTCGTACTTTTTTTTTTCTATGTAATTCAGTACCAGCATTTCAACAGTGCTGATTTTCCATTCCTCTATCAACTACAAGCGTGAAAAGCAACTTCCACAGCCTTCAACTGCATGCCAAGTCTGCTTGCTTGGCCACTAAAGCCACCAATGTTGGTAACCAGACCCTTTCTACATATTTCAGCTTCTGCACCCATACAGAAAATCTAAGTAACCAATCAATCCCCACAAGCCACAAAACAGCAAATCCTTTAACACAGGTGGACCAAGAGCAGTTGTGCTCTGACTGGTGATAATTCAAGGAATTCATGAAGTACAGATTTTGCAGAGGGAGGACACACTGCTCTCAGAGGCTCCAGCACAACAGCAGGAAATCCTACGTCTTACCAGATCTACAGTGACAAAAGCTCCACACTTTTTAATAAGATTTTATGAATATGCAAAATGCTGGGGCAACCAGTGCTGTCCCTCAGGGGTCAGTACTGGGGTCGATGCTCTTGAACATCTTCATCAGTGCCACTGACAGTGGGGTTGTGTGCACTCTCAACAGTTTGCAGATGACACCAAACTGCTGAAAAGGGCTTGGGGGTAAAGGATATGAGCCAGCACTGTGCCCTCACAGCCCAGAGAGCCAACTGTATCCTGGACTGCATTCAAAGCAATGTGGCCAGGAGTTGCTTGCCCCTCTGCTCTGCATTGGTGAGACCTCACCTTGAGTGCTGTGTCCAGACTTGGAGCTCCCAGTACAGGAGAGACACAGACCTGTTGGAGCATATCCAGAGAAGGGCCACAAAAAGTGATCTGAAGGATGGGACACCACCCTGCAATGACAGGTTGAGAGCTGTTGGCTGTGCCTGGAGGAGAGAAGGCTGCAGGGAGACCTGATATCAGCCTTCCAGTATTTAAAGGGGGGCTATAAAAAAAAAAGAAGCTTGTTGTTTGTTTGTTTGTTTTTTACCATAAGGGTGCTGAGGCACTGGCACAAATTGCCCAAGAGAGGTGGGGGATGTCCCACCACTGGAGACATTCAAGGTCAGGCTGGACTGGGCTCTGAGCACCTAATGGAGCTGTAGATGTCCATTCATTGCAAGGGGATTGGACTAGATGGCCTTTAAGAGGCCCTTCCAACTCAAATGATCCTATGATGAGCTTCCTGGCACCGAGGAATCACAGGGCTTTGCTCTGATATCCCTCTCATGCCAGCTGCTCACACAGCTCCTCCCTTCCAAGCATGTTCACAACCACCCAGCAGCACAACGTCTGATCACACAGCACTGGGGATGATGCAAAGCCATGTTCACTGTGAAACATATCTGATACATGGCGCATGGAAAACAGACCAACAGTGAAAGAACAAAAGCAAGTATTGTACAACACAACAGCTGGGATGCACAGCTCACAGCCCATGCACTCAGAATCACACTCTTCTTCCCTTATTACAAGCTTTAATTAGTTTCACCTAAATCAACACCTGACACACATATGAAAACTGCAAACCCAACACACCTAAAGTCAGTATAAACCTGGAATGCATTGCTTTTCCTAAAACACCAATATGAAACAGTAGCTGTGAGGAGAAAGCAGCAGAGGGGTTAACCTCTTATCTCCACTCAGAAAGGATGCATGCAGCATTGTGCTGCTGCCAATCACCACACCTCCAAATGAACTTCTAATTTCAAAGCCTTTGGCAGATGTTTTTTTCACTCATTTCTACCACAAGGGAGTTTCTGAAGATGCTACCTGGCCTAACAACAAGCATGTTTTACGTGAACTAAGTCACAAGTAGCCAGGCTAGAAAGGAAAAAATGCTTCCCTGAAGGATGGAAAGGCTCAGAAAAGGTTGCTAAACCTCTCAACTGTCACATTTCAGGGCACATCTTGTCCCCATCAGAGAAAACCCCACATCTCAAGGGGAATCTATGTGCTCCTGCATTAGCAGACTCTCACGTGCACACACACACAATTACATCCACACACCCTCAAGCACCACTGCCACACTGTGCCAAGGAAAGGGGCAAGGAGACTCACTCAAGGGGGGACAGTTCCACTCACGCAGACTCGAGGCTGTTTCTTCTGTGTTGAAAGCAGTTCTTGCTGCCACACAACCAGACTGCATCACAAAATGATACTGCAGGGAAAAGAAAAACAAAGGGGACCACACCACCACACTGCCCTCAAGGGATTGCCATGACAAGAACAAAACATCAGATGCTTTGTTAATCCACGTTTCATGGATGCAAACCTTATTGCTGCAGGACCCACATCCCCATTGTAATAAACTGCATAGCACTGCAATGTGAGCCAGTGCTCCCAGACAGGAAACATCAGCAGCATGTTTCCAGTTCAGGTGATGGCCTCCAAACTCATCACTGCAATTAGCAAGTGTTCTGTCCTAGCAGAGCAACACAGCACGTTCCACAGTCTCTCCTCCCTCGCACTCACCTGAATGGACCACCCTTGTTTTACACTTCTGCATTTAACAACTGGAAGCAAGTTGACAGAGAGGTGAAAAGCCAGTTCCTTTCAGCCCATTTCCAGCTGCGCCTTGGCAGTGCATTTGCAAAACCATGAGATAGCTTAAGCCACTGCCTCAGCTAAGACTGGCAGTGGTGTGGTAAGGCTGCACTGAGAACGTCACAAGAGAGTTAAACAGCCTTCAAATCACCAGGTTATCTCGGGGAGGTCTGGCTGCATTCATATCACTCCCCCCCACAGGTGCAGACAGCGGCTACGATCAGATAGGAGCAAAGAAGAGTGAAAGATCTCTATCCACTAGGAGTTTGTATCCCTAAATTTAGTGCGCAGAGACAGTCCACATTAATTGGCTTATAGTCATTATCTTTGTATCTCACTAATGACAACACTGTAAACTGAATAAAGACTATTTAATATTCTGTCCTTTAGCACAGAAGACTGACAGCCAAAGCCAGAAAGATGGATAAAATACTATAAAATTACATCTTTTAAAATAATGCAGCATAAATAAACCATTTAGAATGAGACTGCATTTATTGCAACATTACAGGCTTTTTGGTGGAAGGGGGGGTTTGTGTTTTATTTACCCTGAGTAGGTTAGAATATAGTTTGATATGAAAAACTACTACGTCGTGTAACATTTTTTAGTCAAGAAATAGCCCCGTGCACAAAAAGCTGGCATTGCATTAGGTTGGAGGCAGATTCAGGCAGAAACTATATAGCTTAACAGAAAAGAGGAAGCATTTCTGGGCAGCTGAAGGAGAAACTCACTGAACCCAAACGGAAGTTCCATCACATCATTCTGAAAGTTTTCCTAGAGTTCTTCTTGACAAAAGATGAGAGCAATCAGCAAAGGCACCACGCTCCTGATCAATCGATTGGAGGGCTTGTTTAAGAGGGTGACTCGTTTCTGAAGAGAGCCAAACGAATCAAAAGAGCAGCAGGCACCAATCTGACAACACCTGGAACTCACTGCATCCTTCAAAGACAGGCAAACAGACTCTCCAGTCTGAGCGAGCAGGGGCTCCCATAGTGCTTCCATACATCTGCCACCACACCTTAAGTCCTAGTTAATTAAATGAAGCAATCTATAAGGAGCACAAGTACCTCGTGCTCTCCTGCAATAAGCTCCCCAAACATTTCTGTAGGCTTCAGTAACAGCCACAGTACAATGCAAACCCAGGCATCAACTCCCAGCTCAGTGACGTGACAATCGCATTCCAATGAAGTCGCAGATAAATCACCTTCTACTACAACAAAACCATTTTCTGCTACAGCAAATTCCTGTCCTGGGCTCCCCTTATAGTGCATGGTTAGTATCAGACACAAGAGACAAAAGAAAAATCATAGACCCAAGGAGTTGTAACAAAGACTCACTCGCTGCCAGTACCTTAAACCCAAATGTAAGTGATGTGCAATTGGAGACAAACCAACCCCCCTTTTTCTTCTAAAAATCTTTTTGCACACGAGTAACCTTAACTTCCGTGTTCACATATGACAAGCAAAAGTGACAGACAGTGCAGCCGAAACAGTTCATATATAACTTAGCTTTTTTTTTTTTTTTTTTTTTTGCCTTTTCTATTTTTAGATAGATTCTTAAAGATGGATGTACCTGGGACGTGACTAAGATGACATCTGGGAAGCAGAAATAAGCCACAAAACTTCCAAAGAGGAAGGAAAAAAAAAAAGAATCGATCCTTCAGTTTCTGCTTCTAAGAGGAAGGTTTTACCCTCCAGGTGCAAAAGAAAATCCAGAACATCTTCATTTAGAGAAGTTGCTATTCAGACCAATTTCTTCCTCACCCTGCAGTAGTGCTTCGATTGGAATTATATTAGATGGGGTTTCAGGACTTTGGAGGGACAGGAAGTCCGATACATCCATGGCACTTAATGTTTCAGTCTGTAAGTCTGAAGGGTTAACTATTTGACTGCTCTGCCCACGTGAGGGAGAAGGGGAAGAGGAAGAGGAAGGAAAGGTCTGAGGCTGCAGCTGGGGAGCTGGCTGCTCCGAAGCTTTCGATTCAGGTGAGGAATTCTCCTTCTTAATGGTGACTTTGTCCTTGGCAGAGTCTCGGCAGGCACACTGACACTGGCAGGCTTCCTCCTGCTTTATAATAATGACAGGAACGCTGAGGCCGATCTGCTGAACAGGGTTTCCTGAAGGTGAAACAAAGTTAAAACACACATAACTAAACAACATGATCTCACCACAGGAGAGACAAATCATCGTTAGACACCTCAAAGCAGAGATTACTTATCATTTTTTCAAGCACAATGAATACCCTCAGCAGAAAGTAAACAAGAAAAAAACATAGACACTAGCAGGTATATACTGCTAGTATCTATATAGTATATATACTATAGCAGGTACTCTCTGCTGATGGCCAACCTGAACAGGCTGAGCCCAGAGGTCTGGTCTAAGTGTTGTTTAGTTTTTTTTAAAGACAGAACAGTATGTGGCCTTTCTGACAGGCAGACTGCTTGCAGAATCATTAACATCACCACACATCCTGGTTGAGCTAACACTACTACAGGCAAACAGAGAAAAAGGAAAAAAAGGCTTGGTATCAAACGTGCTTACCTGTGTTGCCAGCTACTGGTAATGCAGTGGTAAAAAAGACCTTTTCTACTACTTTTGGAACTTGTGGCTTAAAGGAAAAAAGAGAATAAGAAAGAGTGAGAGTCGATTCCCAACAAATTTCTGTTGTTCAAACTCTAGATATTTGCATGCAAAAGAAGCAGATACTCCAAAGAGAACACATAGGAAAACATTCAATTAATTAACATCCTATTTGGTTCTGGCTATTCCAAAACTAAGCATATTATTTCAGTAGCACTGAAGATGACGAGTTGCCTCCCTCTGCACTACATGCCTGTCTACACAGCTTGTGGTTTTTGACAACTGAATTAATGAATCATTCAGAAGCTGCCAGGCTCGCTCATACTACTTGCAGCCATTCATTCACTCTAGGAGGAACAGGGACGGTGCAAGCTGTTTCAAAGCTAGGCTGAGTATACTAACCATTTGTTCTTGGCTTTGTGGAGAACCAGTGGCACCATTTAATATCCATTGCAAGTTTTGATCTCCCATGACGATGCTGGACTGCAGAATAGCGGCGCTCTGAGAAGGAGTAATTGTTATGGTTGGATTGCTGGTCAGAACAGAGTTCGCACCAACAGGCACAGTCTGAACTACAGCTGGCAGGGGCTCAGTGGCACTTGATGCTGTTGGGGCAGGTGCCCCAGCAACCACTGAAAGTCCTTGTACAATGGGCTGCGGTGGTGTCTGAGTGTGCTGCAGGAAGTCTTGGTGACTGGCTGCAAACTGTGTGCTGTGAGGTACAGGCACTTCTGGGGATTGTAAAACAGTTGCAGGATTTCCAAATGCAGCTTGCTGTGAGCTGGTTCCTATGGAGGAGGGAGCAGCAGGTGCTGCTGAGGCTTGTAGTGCTGAATGTGAAGGCTCAGAGATGCCAAGCTGCAGTACAAGTGGAAGTGACAACGATGCTGAATCTCCTGCAGAAGGCGGAACAGCAGTGACTGAGTCTGCATGACCATTAAAAGCTTCAATCAAGGCAGCTGTCAGAGGAAACAAAGAACAAGGGTACGTACGTCAGTTCTCATCATACCTGAATAAACAGCTCTCTCAATATAGTTACCAGCTAGCTAACAGGTTTTTGCTAAGTAAAGCACTGGCATTTTCCATGTCTTCAGACTAGCGTTCAAGAACATACAGCACTAGACAGTGGAATCTAAAAGCAGGTCCAAATTCAGGAAGCTGGTAACACTGAACGCTACACACAAACTGATTGGCCCCTTTAGCTCTCTCTAAGAAGCCCCTCCATCAGCATGTTTGAGCAGCTACATCAAGAGAGAAAGTTCAAAGAAGATATTTCTATATGAGACATCCAAGAGCATCAGTGTTGGGACTGAACAAGGGCATGCTGTAAACACACGGCCCGTTCCCCAAGTGTTTCACCATCTGTGAATGTATTTCAACACCAAAGCAGTGCAGCGTGGAAGCTGAAGTTGCCTGCTTGCTGCTTGAACTTATGTAGGGCAGCAGACTTCAGTTTGAGTTGCTGAACCAAGCACAGGCGTGCAGAGAGGGAAAGCTGTCAAAAAACTTCCTTAAAACACTGCAGATACAATTTGTACCTGTCTGCTTGGAGTCTTCCTGATTTGTGGTGTGATCTGTGCTCTGAAACATAGACTCAAAGATGCTTGCTGGTGAGATTGTGCTAAGATCTTGTCCGTGTGTCTGGCAAATGAAAAGAAAAGAGGAAGACGTTATATCTTGGGTCTCCATAAATAGCACAAATCCCAGCCAGGCAACATATCGACATCAGAAACCTCTGCCCAATTAACCAGGCAACCTCAGGAAACAGAGCATATTTCACGTCATGCATTCATAAAACATAAAATGACATTTAGTTTTTATTACCCACAATCAAACTGACCAACACGATGAGCAAATCCTTACAAAAAACAAGCAAGTCCTTTTTAAAGGCAAATACAAATATATTCTTCTGCATCAATACTTCTTTTAAACATTGCTTCTTGTAACACTTGGCTGGAAATAGAAAAAGACACTAATTTGGTGTGTTTGCAAAACCTTTTCTGGAGCAGAAACAAAATAGCCTGCTTAGATAATAACCTGGACTATGCACTACTGACACTCACATTACTGAAGCAATAAAATGTATTAAAAACCTACATGCTGCTTCCCTATTGAAGTACACAATAAGGACACAGTCTTATCAGTATATAATTTTCCTCCATGTAAAATGTAACCTCAGTCACCAGTTAGCTATAAGAATATAATTACTGTAAAATCATGTGCTGAGCTTTTGAAAAATGGTATGATTTAATCACTGTGGGTTTTAGAAGAAAATCCTTCTTTCATTCGGTTATTCTGCTGCTAGACTTTGGAGTCATTTCTATGAGTTAAAAGAGCCAATAAGGTGCAATTACTTCCTGAACAGGCTCTTCAAGCACTTACAGCTTTATTCACTGATGCACTTGCAAAAAGATGCAACCTATTTAAAGGGCACCTGAAAGCTACTCTTTGATAACCTAATTAAGTGACTGTAGCATACAACAAATTATTCTACAGAAGTGACCCAACTAATACCTAAAACCCAAATTTAAACAGAAAAGGCCATGGAAAATATCCTAAAAGTTTAAATGCTAGTTCTGCCCCAAATAAGGTTTCTCTCAGTAGCAGATTTAATGAAGACCTTACACAACTGTACAAAACCAAAAGCTTGCCTGAATATTTGCTTCTCTGTATTTCCTGTCTGATCTCTTTGAGGGTGAACTCGTCATGCTTAGTCTGGACATGTACAAAACACCCCACCCAGGCAGATGAAACATGCTGGCCAGTATATCAACTGCTTACCTCCTTGATTCATTGCTCAGTCTGCTCTAATCCCACAGCTGAAAGCTCATCATAGCTGCACCTCTGACATACATTAGGTACTAATGCAATATGGCATCTGCATACACTCTTCAACCTTGTTCCTTCTAACCAATCCAATTTGGTTTTTCTATTGAAAAGTCAATGCTAGAATTTGTTGTTGGCTTTCTTTTTCTTGATAAAAAACTGTCCCCAACCATTAAAAAAAAGAACAGCACTGATGACAGGAAGGGAAATTCATATATGCTAATACAACTCCACCCAGAGTCCAAATCCCAAATATTGTCCCAACATCCCAAAAAGGACACAATAATGTCAGACTGACAGCCTGAGCAAAGTGTCAAGAGACTGCCTCCTGCAAACTGCAACAAGGCACACCAGAAAGGCACTATTCAGTACACCTAAAGCAACTCCAATCAATTATTCTGTGGCAGAGTACATCTCTCCTAGCAGCAGGATGAAAGCTTAAAGGAGAGCATGCTGCAGGCTGGACTAAGTGAAACAGAACAACCAGTCATATGTATCTCATCTACTGTGTTCCAGTCAAGAGGTCAAGCCCATTGTTAGGGGAAAAAACTACCCAACTCAAATTACAAGTGAAGCAATTCAGAGACAATAACTCACTAGATTCGAGTTCTCCCGCAGCTCTGAATCTGTTGATATGAGGCTTAAGTCACTCAGACAAAGCGAGTGGCTTGTATCCTGCAAAGAAAAGAAATGGAGTTAAACATTAAAAAAAAAAGGGGCAGGTTGCTTTCCAAAAAAATTAAGCAACAAAGAATTTTAATTGAGCACGAAGCAAAGCAGCCTGTGGAAAATAAGAATTCCAGTCATTCATAGCCAGCCTTTGTTTTACTTCAAACATGTATTTACACAGTGCTGACTGAAACATAAAGAGTTTACAGGGGACAGCATGAGCACGTACAGAACTGCCTACAGACTGCTACTAACCTCAGACACGTTGTTATTGGGAAGTGCATTGTAGGTATGTCCTTTCTCATGGCCTTTCATGTGACTCTTGAGACTATACTGTGTACTAAAAGTCTTCTCACAGCCATTGCTGGGACAGAAGAAGGGCTTCTCCCCTACAGGCAGCATGAAACACACATGACAAACTTATGTGAGACATATTTTTAAGCTACATAGGATAATAACAGCATTACATACATAGAAGCATGTTTTTACTCCAAAACACAACTTCAGTTAGCATAAAAGGCAAAACCTTACCATAGGTCAGGTACTGCAAAGTCTTTCTGCACTAGTGCACACACTGATAAGAAAAAGAAGTACCTTTCTCTCTGCACAAACTGCTACGTACAGCCAAGCCAGCAGCAGTAACAGCTAACAAACAGTTCCTTAACCTGCCATCACAGTGCCCTGTTCAAAAGGCTGGGTCCCATCCTACAAACAGTCTTAATGATACTCTGGAAAACAGTGAGCAATTACTACGTGGCATATTGGAACTTGTATGAATAGATTTGAGAGTCATCATAATGCCACTTCATACACTCAACGTTCTTGGAAAGAGCCTTGCAAACCAAAGCTCCCATTTTATCAAGTGAATTGACACATGAACACAGTATTTAACTTGAATGCATCGTTACTGACACGTTTGTGAAACATGCTGATGAAATTCAAGAGGCATAAATGTGAGGAGGCTTTTTCTTCATGGTTCTGTTTCTTTGTTCTCATCTGAAATACGAGCTGAAGTTTTGACTGCCCACCTACATTTGCACGTCACCAGTTTGCTCAACACAGGTTGAAAGATATATTCCTAGAGATGTCTAGGAAATAAATGATTCACAGCAGATTCACTGAGTTATATCTATTCAAATAGCTGTGTTTAGCAACCCTGAATGTATTGTGTAACTTAAAGAATAGAAGCAATTGTGCCAGGGCTGCTATGAAAGAATTTTTGTTTTTAGGAATTACATGGAAGGGTAAAAACCATATGATGACCTTGCCTGATAGGTGAAACATCTAATTAAATGTCCTTGCTAGATGATTTTATATGCAAGTATAAACACATATCAGGATCCTAAGAGTTAGTACAAACAAAATAGACTCAATTAAAGCAAAACCAAACCCCTCGGACTCACCAGTATGTGTCCTAACATGTGTTTTGAGGTGGTGGCTTGCAGCAAAAGCCTTTCCACAGCCGTCATGTTCACACCTGAACAGAAGATCAGGGAAGAGTTGGCATCAAGATTCTTTCACATGTGTGTTACCACCTCTTGTCATGCTCTGCAGTAGTCACAGGACTCCAAAGGGCTGGCCTGATACTAATCTCTGCTATCATTTACAACTCCCAGCTGCTGCTAAGCGTGCTATGCAGGCAGGATTCTGACCGTGACTTTAAAATTCAAACACAAATTCATCATGTGGGGGGTTGGGTGAGCTGTTGTGGAATAAACACTGCATCCCAACAGAGCAGCAGCAATGTGATTCACAAGCATGTTCATCTTGGGATATATTTCTGTCTAGAAAGGAATATTCTAACTTGATGATTCTGGTCATTTGAAGACAGTTATTTCATCCACTTTTACAGACATCTGAGAGAGTTCTGGAACAAACAGGCTCAAATGCTAGCCTCCTTCATTTTATTTAAACAAGTTCTCATTAGTGGCAGTAACAGCTGTCTTTTGGCACAAAAATAAGTTTTCACTAATGGCAGCAATGGTTGTCTTTTAGCACAGGCAATCCATTACAGAAGTTCCAGAGCAGTGAAGATTGCCATCCAGTAACTTACCGAAATGGCTTTTCTCCTGTGTGTGTTCGAATGTGCTTCCTCAGGTCACTGTGTGTTGTGAAGTATTTACTGCAGCCTTCTGATTCACAGTTAAATGTTTTCCCTGTGTGAAGTCTCTGATGTGCTTTCAACCTGAAATGAGTTAAAAACAAATCCCTCTCATAGTTTGTCACACAAGCCAGCCTCTTTCCAAGGCAAGCAAGCCATCCACTTCAGTGTACAAGACAGGATCAAATGCTTAATGCATGTAATTGATATCACTCAAGTCCTCACAGAATCTGAGAATTCCTCATGCCTGTGCACCATCTTCAAAACCACCAGAAAATAATCAAGCTAAGCACATGATCACAACATGATCATCTGTCATCCTGGACATCTACGCCTTCTTGGCACCCATTTCCCACATTTCTCCAAAAGAAACACGCAGAGAATTCCTACCTGTACAGTGTATTGAATGCCTTTTCACAGCCCTGCACATCACATTCAAACGGCTTCTCCTTTGTGTGCACTCGAACGTGGATTTTGAGGCTGTAAGAGGTAAGAAAGGCTTTGCCACAGCCTTCTTGATTGCAGACAAAAGTGTATTCCCCACGATGTGTCTTTTGGTGAGTGCGCAGGTTTCCAGCAGTGCTATAGGTTCGTGGACAGCCCTCAAAAGTGCACTGGTATCTCTTAACCTGTGGGATAGAAATGTTGCATGATTGATTCTTTTTTAATCATTCCTGGAATCCGGAGACAACGTGATGGATTGTGATGTGAAAGGAAAGAAAAAATAAAACTGTTCAGTTATCAGACTACTTAATAGATCTGCTGGGCCATGTAAAGAGTGGCATGCACTGGAAAGCAGGCTGACCTTACAGAATAGGAAACTAATTGAAAAGGAAAAGAGGGGAAAAAAAAAAAATAATTCCATACATATATAGCTAGAAATCAAAAGTTGGAAAGGATCCCCAAGATTACATCAAACCAACCCACTATTCCCATCCAGAGCACCTCCACTGCTTATAGCAGAGCTATTTACAGAGGAGGAAGACAAGGAAGGATGTACTTTCACAAGTCAACCCTCAAAAAACCAGCCTGTGTGCTGCATTGACACCCTGAAGGAATCTACAATATTTTAAACCTCCTACAGTGTTACTCCATTTTATCTCAAAAGCAGCCTTCGTCGTGCTGTGTTCTCCTGTGTTCACTCAGATAGCACATGCCTGAAGCACACTGAGTTACACAGGGTGCTTCACATCACAGGTGCCACTGGTTTCACAGCCATCTAGATCACCAGGAAGCAGTTCCATATGAATTAGATCTGACAGCCTTCCCATCTTCTGCAACAGGCAGGAAGAGACCAAGAGACCACGTCAGGAAACTTCCAGCGTGCAAGTCATAACACTTAATTAAACCTCATTCTCTCTTGTGAAGAAAAAGAAGTAGGCCTTGATATGCTTGATTAATCTCCCTCCAACATTAATTATCAGACTGGTGGCTTTCATTTGACTGCTTCAGCTGAGAATCCTTAACATCTAGAAGTAATTATACAGCCCAGGAGAGAACGTGATGCTTGACAGGCAAGAAGCAGAAGCAGCATTGCAGAAGATGTTAATTTTGAAATCCTTGGAAAGGTGATGCAAAGTCACAACAGAGGAGCAGAAACCTTCAGATTTAGTATTCTAACAACTAGACAGAAAGATAATCTAGCAGGTCAAGGTCAGCAGTCCTCCTCTTTACCAAGGCACTCAACACCTACCTCACAGCACACAGCTTAGAAAACACCTCAGACTGCCTTCAACAAGAAAATTTAAAACTAACTAACAGAAAAACCCACTGAGTTGTAGTTTGGTACCACAGGAGAGGTAGATGAACCTATAGATAACCAGCACGTAACATCTATGGTCTCAACATGTTCTTCTCTTGCTGCTTTATGCATACCTCCATCAGAAAACTTGAAACTCGTTACTCTTTAATTACCACAGCTTGGGGGCTGAAAACACATGAAATAGCTGAAAATAACATGGCATCCCCTGACCTGTGCTCATTTAAGCTCCCACCGATGTAATACGGTGCCACAAGGGTAATTAATGGGATCTGGACATATATATTACACTAATAGTTACCAACAAATATATGGGCATTACAATACAGTTAAAAGATAATTAATAAATTTGGCTGTGTGTTGAGCCCACCAAGACAGAAGGAAAAGTGCAGACTTGTAAAATACAGACACAAGGTCAGAAAGCACATTTTTCTTAGAAGAAAATGTGCACATTATGTCCACCAGAGATCTTCAGACTCAGTTTGGAATACAATTTATAATAGTTTGGAAATCAATTCTTACCCTTTGGAAATTTAAGGCAGCTGGTAATTAGTTTTACACGCTGCATTATAGGGTGCTTTCCACTGTGCTTCCCATAATAAAAGGGATTTGACAGAGACATGAGCTACCTAGAAACTATTAGGTGAAGAGTCCTTTGTGGTTACAGTTAGGCCTAGAAAGTGAAAGGAGAAGGAGAATATTTATTAGGTAGTAATGATTTGGGCCCTAGCTGCCATGCACCCATTTAAAGGAAGATGGCAGTTCAGTTGGAAAGCCTTGTGGAGCTCCTCCTTTTCTGCAAAGACTAAATTGTTCTTCTGCAGATTTAGAAGGATGCTGGAGACAGAAGCAATACTGTCACAAATAAATAAAACTCCTCATACAGCAGCAAAGCACTTCATTCTCTTTTCACATTAGGAAATTCAGCACATCACATAAACATCATACACACAAAATGATGGAGATACTGACCATGAAAGACTGGCAGACAGAGCAGCCTGTGCTCAGGACCACGTGCAAGCAGCACAACAGAAACAAAGCAGCTACAGGAAAAGCAAGGGATGCCTGGGTACAACACGTAGAGGAACAAGCTGCTTTGAAGACAAAGGCTGTGGCCGTATCACATCAGCTTTCTGCAGAAGATAACATGCTCCTCACACACCACAGGTAAGCTAGAAGCCTTCATTAAGTATTTACCCTAGAAGTAAGAACTAATTGCCCAATCACCAACACCACTCACAAAAGCTGAACCAAAGGCCACTTCAATTGCTCAGTTTGCCTTTAAATTGTCTTTATTTTAGGCTTTTCCCCTTAGGTTTGCATTTTGCCTACCACCACTGATTAAAGCCACATTAATGGAACTGAAATAGAAGACTCCAATTGCATTTACTCTCATGCAGACAATCACAGCGAGAGAAGTTTATGACAACACCAGGAAGTTAAAGGGACTTAAAGGAGCGTAAAACTTTCCTACACAAACGTCTAAGGTTGACCTGAAAGCATGAGACATTGAAACATTTATCTTCATTACTAGGACCTCCTCAGATGTCTTGGAGATACAGAAGGATTGGACTGGTAGCACCAAGAGCTGACCCAAGCATTCAGAGCTTTTAAAGTTTCTTTTTCCCCCTCCAAAAACTTACCAAGCATCTGAAATCATTGAACAAAAGGAAAAGAGCTCTGTTTGCTCAACACTCGATTCCACTGCACTCAAATTATAGTGCAATTCCTTCCCTCCCATCTTGAAAACTAAGCCAAGAGATGGGAAATAAATGCAGACAAAGAACTGAATCAGGCAGTTCCAGGTCTTACAAGCGTTTTTCTAAAAGGCAGCATAGAAAAATAAATCAGTCTAACAGCATGTGTAAAGCCATCAACACCAATGTAACTACTGCTCTCACACATGCAGACTGCAAGCTGATTGTTCTACTAAAAGAAAGGAAAATACTGGCATGACTGACATACCAAAATTAAACATTTTAGCAGCTAAGGGAGGATGCAGCTGCTACGAGTGTGAATAATATCTGAGCAGACAGAATCCTTTGGATGGGTCCATTGCACAAACCTTGCTCCAGAAGCTTCACAGCTAATTGCAAAGCTGACCTCCTACAGCCCCGTATCCTCGCTGCTGAGTGAGTGATAATCAAGGCTGCCTGCTAGTTTAAATTATTCACAGCATTCAAACCAAGCTTTCTCCCTAAGCAGGGGCTCATTTCTGCAGTTCTCACTCACACTGAATATCAGTTACACGAGCAGCTGATACGAATGCCACTGATACTTGCTAAGGCACCAGTAAGAGTTTAACTCAGCAGGGCCAAGAAAGTAGGGCAAAGTTGTTAGAAATATGTCATTTGAATCCACTTTGCCTTGCACCTAAGAAGTAACAAACGTGCAAGCCATCACCACTTTGCATGCAGGTAGAATTCATCAGGGAAACAGAATTAGAAGCAGCCTCCATACGTTATCCTCCAACACATAAGCTAACTTAAGCTTTTAAGACAGCAGATGGTACTCTGAAGATTCTCTTGCTTTCTTCTTAGTTTCCCTGTGAGTGACACAACAAAGCTAAAAAGGAATTTTAAGTTTGGCATCTTAAGCTCCATATTTTAGCTAGCTCTGAGAGGGTAGATTTTAAGCTGCAATTTAGATGTGCTTTTCTCAGGAACGTGGTTCACCACAGAATAACAGAGCCCATGCTCCTTTTAGCTGAACTCAGAAAATAATTCTCCAAACAATAAAATAGCAGGACTAGTACTACACTTACTAACAGAAACAGTACTACTGTCAATGTATTTCTGTTGCCATATTCTCCTCTAGCTTGCAGATGTCGAAAAACACTTCCTGCTGCTTCACAGGAAAACAGCAAGACACGAGATTAAAAACTGAAGACATTCACAGCCATGCTGCTGATGCACCAAAGGACCATAGAACACAACCATTCCTCCCTGCACAAGGCACTACTACTGCTAACAGTAACGGGGGGTTTGATGGAATCACTGATAAGAACCAGCTATACGGTGATCCTTAAAAACAGGAAAAGCTGCTGCCTGCCTCCTGGCACACACTTTTAGCCACCGTATTTTTCAAAGCATTTGAGGTCACCAGATGAAGACTAAGCACAGCAAGCACGAATTTAAAAATATATTTAACTACTTACTTCTTTAAGCTTGGTTTCTGGGCATTCAGACTGCAGAGTGAGTGTTGCGCCTTCAATGTTTCTTGGCATAGGAGTTGAACCAGGATTTATTGTTAGGTGAATCTGATCTGGAGAAATAATATGTTGCACGTAACCCTGGGACATTCCTTCATGATCTGCTATTAAATGAAATCCTTCTTCATGACCCTCCGGTAAAAAAGGCAAGTGATCACCACATTGTCCTTCATCCTCATCATCTTCCAGCACGCTGTCTTGCTCTATGAGAACAGTTGTCCTATCATAGACCGTCCCGGACGATGAAGAAACCAGTCCGTTTTTATCAGCAAACCTCATCATATTGTCATCTTGGGTTAATTCGTCATCGTCCACTTCATAGTAGATAACGTTGCCTTCGGGACTGTTTTCCCCCATGGCTCACCGCCGCTCACTGCGGTATCCTGAAGCGGGACCGTAACAACCCATCTGCAACAGAGGAACGGGAAGGCGGAGGCTCAGGCAGGGCCGGCCCGTTCGAGCCTCGTTTCAGGTGCGGTCACACCCCCGTTCTCCGCACAACCCCTCCCGGAGCTCAAAGGCCCCGCAGCACTCCCAGGCGTCGGCACCGCGCCGCAGCCCGCACCCTACGGGCCGAAGCAGGCCTTTCCTCCTACCCCCTAGCTTAGCGATGCCTCAGTCCGTCCGGCTCCCCTACCACCCGCCGCCAGAGCCCGCCAGAGCCCACCACAACCCCGCACACAAACCCCAGGGGCCGCCCCGTCACGCTCCAACCGCGCTCACCGAGCTCCCGGCAGCGGCGGCACCTCCTTCCCCACCCCAGCGGCACCATGATTACCAGCGCACTCACTTCCGCTTCCGGTCGCGTGCGGCACGACGGGAGGGCCGCGCCCGCCGCGGGCGTTGATGGGAGCGGGGAAGGGGGTGCGCATGCGCAGTGAGGAACTGCGCTGGGCGCGGCGGCAATGTGAGGGGAACGGGGTGTGGGGCGATGAGGAGCGGCAGGGAAGAGCGGACGCGGAGCCCAGCTCCTGCTTAAATAAACTCATAGCCTTAAATCAGTCGCACAGTAGGGAACAAATTGCAGCTGTGTGCCCGTTTGTGCGGTTTCCTCCCTAGACAAAGTCGGAAGTAGAGCTAAAATGAGGTTTTCCTCAGAGCTTCGTTGTCCAAACTGACCCTCAGGATCCCCCAAGGCCACATCACAGAATCACAGAATGGCCCGGGTTGGAAGGGACCTCAAGGATCATGGATCTCAGGGCCACCAACCTCCCATTCAATACCAGCCTAGGCTGCCCAAGGCTCCATCATCCCGGCCTTGAACACCTCCAGGGATGGATGGGGCATCACAGCCTCTCTGGGCAGCTGTTCCAGCACCTCACCACTCTCTCTGTAAAGAACTTCCCCCTGACATCCAACCTCAATCTCCCCTCCCTGAACTTCAAACTATTTCCGTTGTCCTGCTGTTATCTTCCCTTTTAAAGAGTTGATTCGTTCCTGTTTGTAGTCTCCATTCAGGAACCAAAGGCTGCAATGAGGTCTCCTCATAGCCTTTTCTGCAGGCTGAACAAGCTCAGCTCCCTCTGCCTGTCTTCGCAGGGGAGGTGCTCCAGGCCCCTGATCATCAGACACCAGACAACAAACTGCTCCACCACTGCACGCTGAGTACTGCTGCATCTTTATGAAGGGATGAGGAATGTTGAGTAGCCCTGAACCACCACCCAGGCCCACCCCAATGAGGCAGAAGCCCGTGGTGCTGATCAATGCTGGGCCATCAGCCAGCAGCTGGATTTAAAACTACCCATCTTTCTGTAGCCCAGGGTCTTGTCCTTGATTGCAGTGCTGCTTTGTGGTGCTGCACGCTCCCATAGGGTTACAGCGTGCTGGGGAAGGCATGGAAATGCTCGTATCCTACAGTGGGTAGAGCTGCTCCGTGCCTGTAACAGGTGTGACTTAAAGCACACTTAAAACCAAGAGCCCAAAGCTGGAAAATGCACTGAGATGTTTTTATTTAAATAATAAGGACTTAAAAATTCTGTGCTTTAATACAAGTTAAATACAAGAGTAAATATCAGCTTTTATATTTTTGCTTGTCTACGTACAGCTTATTTAGATTCAATATACTTTACAGCTTATTAACAGTGACACCTGATTCTAAATGCCTGAGCTGCATTTAATAGCAAAAGATTGTATAAAATACTGTGATTTAAAAAAAAAAAAAAAAAAAAAACTGATATACTGTACATTTTTTTCTTTACAGTAGTTTCATATCTAAAAGTCAGATTAGCTGCATCTGAAAGTCATGATAAATTGTTCTCTTTCAGGAGGAACTGATGGATAAATTGCTGAGCTTTCCTCTTTTCCGTTATATCAGGCATAGGATGTCCAGGAGGAGGTCTAAGTAACAAGCCACCAAATATACTAGCTGCATTTTTAAAAGAGAGAGAGAGAAAAGAGAGCACCAGTCAACAGCAAGCTATTAAGGGTAATTCCACCAATCTCAATTAGTTGTAATGAGAGAGAGCCTGGTTTCAGGAGGGGTTAGATAAAGCTGATGACACACTGACCTCTCTGTGACACCATAAAACTTTTTTTCTGGCTACTGCAAGGATGCAAAATCCATTTTTCTATGGAGACCATGACTGCAATTGCTTTCGAGAAATGTGTCCTACTAACTGAAAAACCCCTCTGAACAGAATGGTTATTTTGCTTGCCTTACCTAGAATATTCACATCCAAATTGTTCTTCCCTGAATTTTTCAGTAGTTCTCGTAGAAATGCCATTAGATATTCAAACACATTTTTATGGCACTCTGGCAGGTTAGAGATAATCTGGGTGGAGAAAAAAAACCAACATATATTGAAGAAACAATAACTTGGGAGCTTTGTCTACTACCAACATCACACTGCCTGTATATGAGAACAGCTCTTAATAACCCAAGTTCTGCATCATTTCTTTTATGATAAGATTACATTTCTCATAGCAAAATGCTGTAATTTGTCTAGAGTAAACCAGTCTACCCCCTTCCAGAAGTGGTCCCCCATTGAAGCTGGCATTACCTGGCTGCTCAGCAGGTAGTTGTTGGCACACTCCAAACAGCTGCTGTAGTACCTGTAGCAGATGACTGGCTCTGGCAGGCTTTCCAAGAAGAGCAGCAGCGCCTCTGCTACCGAGTGGTTGCTGCCAACTGGTCCAAAGGTGGTTAAGGAAGAGGTAAGCACAGCGTGGTCTATTTTGGCAGTATGTCTGCTAAAACACTGATCTTTGCTAAGGTCTCCGAGAACTGCTGTTCACAGCTTTGAGTCAAATTGCCTGGCCCCACATAGCAAACTGTTTCCATTGGCAATTAGATACTGATGTAGTTAATCAACAACCGTGCATCAATACAACAAGGACTCAGCAGAGGCATTAGGACTGATAGCAAAGAGCAGCACATCTCAGTTACCACGAGATGACAGAGAGCAGTTTAAAAACCATGACGGAGCACAAAAGACTGATCAAACCTTTCTCAGCTTTGATCTTTTGCTTGGGCATAGTGAGCCCAATCAGACATCAGCCTGAAAGGATACGGAGGGTATCATGCATTCCTTTGTCCAAACAGTCTCGGATCTGCTCAAATTCAGACCTGAGGCCTGGTTGCTGAAATAGGTCCTCCTGCAAAGGCCATCATTGATCAGTCTCAAGGGGAAACAGAAGTTATTTGAGTAAATTAAGCCAAAATTATGAAATGGCAGGAAAAATATCCCTAGGTTGGTAGCTATCAGCACAAACATGAGCAATTTTAGGAAGGCTATGAGACTGCAGTAAAGAGCAAAGCAAAGGGAGAGCTGCTGGTGTATGCCACACACAGACTGCATTGCCTTCACAAACCCTGCAAATCAGGGTAATAGAATCTCTTATCTCAAAAATATTCATTTTCACTCTTTACCATCAGCCAAACATCCACACTTAGCAATGGTTGCCACCTTCCCCAAACCTTAACCAAACGCCAACAAATTATTCTGCAGCTCCAGCACAAGCACTGCCAACCTGCTGGGAAGCATTGCGGTATAAGTGATCCACCATCATCCACAGCTCTTTGGGAATTTCCAGAGGCTTTTCAGCTTGAGTAGCACTATCACTCATTTCCAGTGGCATCAGGGTCTGAGAGAGAGAGGTAAGGAGGAAAAAATAAACAGGGAACAAAGTGAGCTAGCCAGCTTCTTGTTCAACTCTGCAAATCGCTTCACAGAGTTTACAGCTGAGAACTAGGACTTGTTAAACTGTGCAGCTGCACTCCCCAGCTTTCACAGACTGCTGTGTCAGGCACAATTGTATCATAAGCACAAACAGAAAAAGATGCTCTCAATCACACTTTGCACGCACCTTTTTTCAACGTGCAAGCAGAGCAAATGGCATATTACTGTCAGTGCTGTACCCAAACAAAGCACTAAAACAAGGCGTGGAGATGTATCAGCATTTTCAGACTATGGACCGGGTGAGCGAAAGAAGGCTCTGTGGCAACAAATAAGACAATCACCTAGTTTTAATGGTGTCTGTTCAGAAGGGAAGCTTATCTTTAACTCACAAGATTCCGAATGGATTCTGCAGACATGTCTTGGATCGGTTCCCTCATGTAACACAGCGTATGAATGGGAGACCCAAAGCAACTGGGCAAGTAGTTTCCTGTTACAGACAGAAAATAATCCTTCCCCCTGTCGAGATGCAAGACCAAAATGTCTTCAAGTTTTTCTTCTCCAGAGTTCAAGTGTGTAGCTGTTGATTTATTAACAAACAGTTCCAACTCAATTGTGATCTCAGAACCTGACAGAAGATAAGAAAACAATACTGAGTTTTAAAAAAGGCATTAAACCAATCAACTTGTAAACAAGCACAGCACTCTCAAAATAGCAAAAAGAACAAAGCCAACACGTTACAATAATTAGCTCATTACATGAAATGAACAGTGAGGAACTCACCTGGCAGCAGAAAGCCTTGACTAGGATTAGCCATCAGCCACTCCTTGCAGTAGGTAACCTCATCTGGTTTGCTGATAAATTCAAACTGGCAGGGCACTGGTCCATTGCGGATTGTAAACTTCTCTACCTGCAGCTGCATGTATTTGACGTCCTCAAAGTGGAACTAGAAACAAACGTCAGCCAACATCATCAGCCAACATCATCAGCCAATCCCCCCACGCCAAGCACCAGCAGCAATTCCTCCCATTGCTGCCCCATAGTTTAATCATTAAGCAGCAAGATACCCAGATTAACCCTCTTGCTCCCACATCCCGCCTCTTCCAGGATTAAAAAGGATTACACTTATTTACACACTGCAGCAGCGTGCCCTTTAAAACCAATGCTCCCCTCAAATAACCCCAGTGGAATTTGAGAACAAGGTATCTGTAAGCCTCTCGGTTACTTATCTTTTATAGTCCCCAACACACAAAGCAAATGCTGGTCTTGTGACCTTCTCCAAATCCCTCAGAATTTTACATTTTATGTTTCCAAGAACTTGCTGTTACTTGAAACTGCCCTTTTATTCTCCATCTCATAACGTGGCTGTATGTTTCAGCTCAGTAGCCTGTACTTGACTGGAACCAGACCACATGGTCCAACATCCATCTAACATAATGCTACCACGAGAAAACACATCTAGGGTCTGGAAATGACATCTAGGGTCTGGAAATGACATCTAGGGTCTGGGAATGCTTGATTTGTCCAGCAACTCACAGCAGATGAACAGACCCTACCTCTCTTTGGGAGAGGGTCACCGAGGGAATGTTGGCGTTCTCCACCTTATCCAGGGAGCGCACGATTTCCTCAAAGACCTTTCGGTAGAGCTCCTCGTTCACAACTTTCACCTGAAAAGGGCACACACAGCACTAA